TACCGGTTACGCTTTGCGATTTCAGTTGTATATTTCATACTTAAGTGTAGTATAGTACTGCTGGAGTTAGTCTTAAAGTGCTTAAACAGAGTCATAGTATTAGTAATTTTGGTACAATCTTGGTCAAAAATTATACTATCCTGTAGATTAAAAGAAATTAATAATTAAACTTTATATATTCAATACGATAAAGAGTAATTGATCGATTGTTAAATATTACTACAATTATATACTAAGTTTCCTTTCAAAATACTGTTCAGAAACTGTGAAAAACACCATTCGATTTTATCGTCCATTACAAATAGAAAAAATGGACACGATTGATGGACGAAGTAATCAAAAAGACACTCGATCGGCTTTCATCGTATCGTGAAGGGGAGCCTTTTTTTAGCTCTTGAGTACATTATCGTAAAAGCTACCTTGAGTAAAGTAAGTAAAGGTGAGTGTGGAATGGCGTTATACTTACCTATACCTATACAGCTATTGATTGACCAGTAGGTATTTTCGATTGCTATACAATTTGTTATTGACGCCAACTTTGTTGGTCGTTATAACTATTAAGTTATCCAGTTACGCCTACGTGTGTAGTGACCGAAATGGCCTGTAGATGTGCGATCTTTCTCTATTTTTTTTTTATTGCATAGGTAAGTAGGTAAATGAGCAGACGGATCACCTGATGGTAAGCAATCGGCGTCGCCGATGGACACCTGGAACACCAGTGGCGTTACAAGTGCGTTACCGGCCTTTTGGGGATTAGGAGTTTGTGGATCGTTGAGGATTCAGGGATTGGGGAAGGGGAGGGTAATTTTGCCTCCGGTAACCTCACTCACACGACGAAACACAACGCAAGCGTTGCTTCACGTCGGTTTTCTATGAGGCCGTGGTATCACTCCGGTCGAGCCGGCCCATTCGTGCCGAAGCATGACTCTCTCACACTTAAAACTTCTATTCCTTTAGACTGATACATTATTCCTTTGAGAGAACATATACGTAAATAGTCTTAGTTAGTTGTGTTCTAAATAATGTAATAATGTTTATTTGAGAAAACCACGGCCATCTAACAATATCGTGTCTTTATGAATTTTTAGTTTAATTAATAGCAATGAATTTAAATGATACTCAACTTAAATAAAACTCAATTTAAAGTGCCTTCATTTATCACCAGCGGGCATAAACCACAATAATGTCCAGTGGTGAACTAATGTGTATATCTGTACATACTGGTAGACCATTCAACCACTACTATCAGACGAAAAGTGGCCTTATTTTCTTATCGGTAAAGGTGGGTTTTATTGTACAAGTGGTGCCAAGACGTACATTACGTTTCTGTCAAGTCAGGTTATATTACCACGCTAGTGCACAAGATGTAAGCTGGCTTTAAAATTAAGATAAGTTGCAAACGTTATTACCCAGGCAAGGGTAAAGCCTGCTAGAATTAGAATGCAACTATGTGCATACCCAAGTTAAGTAAAGCCACTTTGAAAAACCTTTAAGTGTGGGAGAGCCATGCTTCGGCACGAATGGGTCAGCTCGCCCGAAGTGATACCACGGCCTGACAGAAAACCGACGTGAAGCAGCGCTTGCGTTGTGTTTCGTCGTGTGAGTGAGGTTACCGGAGGCCCAATTACCCTCCCCTTCCCCAATCTCCCCAATTCCTGAATCCCCAACGATCCTCAAACTCCTAATCCCCAAAAGGCCGGTAACTTACTTGTGGCGCCTCTGGTGTTCCAGGTGTCCATGGGCGACGCTGATTGCTTACCATCAGGTGATCCGTCTGCTCGTTTAGCGGCTTATGCCATAAAAAAAACCTTAAATTGTTTTATTAGCTGAAATTGGATATTTTAGCTTCGGAAAACAACGAAAAAACAATCGTACATAATACATCTATACCTCTATACACAGTGTACATTGACTAGTTCAACAGAACTCTCTTTCATTAGGTACGTGTTGTATGTATAAATCCCGAGAACAAAGAATTAGTCGGTAATAGCTATTCAACCAAAACTACCGTTTGCTTTGTCTAAAGGCTCTCCATTAATCAGTGTACAGTTCGTTGTAGTTGTTTTCACAAAGGGAGCACGAAGCTCCATGTAAATGTCCGACTGTTGAGGCCACAGTTTAGCTTTGTGTAATTAAATTCTAGCTATATATAACAATCTCGTTCGACTATCCTCAATAATACTTTTTTGAAATACATTTTGGCAAAGTAAATTACTCAGTTCGATTTTTTTTATTATCTATGGTTTTAGGGACTTTTCGTTTAGGAACATGTCAGCCCCGTTACTCAGTTTGATACAGGAGACTATTTCTTCTCTTCCTCGAATAATTAATTAAGCAGAAAAGTGCATATTAATACAATTAATATGTATGACGTCGATAAATCATAGTGTTATAAAAAATAGAGTCATATCTAGACAGAATTATATTGGCCGACACACACTGTGATGTTACACATCTTGAGTAATTTTATCGATAAGTGTTGGCCATGATAATGCACAAACAGTTCAAAACGGAATTCACAAATGATTCATAACTGATTATGAAAAAATGATTTATAATTATTATTATTGAATAATGTGAGTTGATAAGGGAATGGGTATTGGGAATCATCTGCGTATGAATGTACACTATTTGTTTGTAAATATTATACTGTAATTACGCTTTCTTGGCGGGTTTCTTCAAGTACGAAATATACCACTGTGCATTTCGTTTTATGCCTTCTATCATGAACAATTAAACTGTCAAACACAACGAGGACACCGGTGACCGCAACTAAGAACATGAATATACACATGCCACTTTTAGTCACGGAATTCTTTTTATTAAAAGCGGTCTTATAATGTAAAACAATTCTTGTTTCCAACATAAATGTCAACTGGCGATAGTTTTTATATCAAGAGGTCGAAGCATTCCACGGCAGGAGTATGAGTATCTACATAATAAAATTAGAGAGTATGAGTATTTACATAAGAGTATCTACACAAATTTCACGTATAGCATATTGAATAGTGCATTTTAAAAGGTTCAGATTGATTCGAGAGCGCTGCTCAGACTCTCTCAACTAAGTAGCCCTTCAGTCAACTCTTTACGACACTTAAAATCATAGCTTATCACATCGAGAAAGACAATCCTCACTGCATATTAGAAAATAGAAACTTCTCTTAATGACTGGCTTCATTCAAATACAGCTGCAGAACTCAACACTAGACTGAGCGGACGTAAATAAAATATAAAAAAGACCTAAACACAGATTTTTCTCACAAAGTATATTGCTTTATTTTCAACGCGATTTTATTTCTCGCCGCGCGATTTCTACGCCATTGGCATGGAACAGTATTACTCAGGAACGAAGCGAACGGAAAAAGTTAAAATGAAAACTGGAATTCAATGTTCGTATTAGACGTTACCTATACCCACCTACCTACCTTTCCAGACTGTGTGCCTTTTTTGTTTGTAAGTGGGACTTATAGCATACGACATAAGACTTATTTCCCTAGTCGAATAGCATTTGAACACTTATCGAACGAGTGAAAACAAACTCGATGTACATAATATTGACACTGGCATTCGACAAATTATACCAAACATTACGTTTTCTATTCGCTTATTGGACTGTCGTTTAATTACCATTTAATTTTGTCTAAAGCGGCTGAAAATAGTAAAATAAGTAAAGTGTTACTAGGACAATTCAAATTATTAACTTCACCATAGTAACAAAACAACCGTCTACAAATTACAGACCGATAATATATTTAATACCTAATTCTTCCTTCATCAAATAAAAGCAATGGGTATTCATCATCATCATCATCATCAACAGCCTATAAGTGGCCACTGCTGACCAATAGTCTTTTCTCGCACAGAGAAAGCTTCAGCATTAATCACCACGCTTGCTCAATGCGGGTTGGCAATTTCAAACTTATATTTAGAAATGATAAGCCCAGGTTTCCTCACGATGTTTCCTTTACCGTTCAGTGATATCTAGATAATCTTAGAAAGTACATATAACTCGAAAAACGTCAAATTAGTACTTGCTGTTGGTAGGTTTCGAACCTACGCTCCCATGGATGAGAAGCGCCCGTTTCTTAAACCTCCGGGCCACCATAACACCACACAATAGGTAACATTACTGCATTTTTGGAATGAGTAAAGTTGAACGTTGTTATTGTTTATTCTGCTCCGACTGTTTCTAGCATTGACCTATATTGAGCGTAGACTTCCTATTATGTCAGTCAAGGCTACATTGCGCTGCAAGTCTAGGCTAAATACGATCAAGTAAGACCTATTTGGATTATATTTTTGGTACCGTGTTAACCTTATTGTTTCTAATGAGGCCTTTATTTGAATGAAGATGTTTTACATACAAATCGTAGTAGTATTTTTACTTGTCTATTTTTTAAATAACTTAATGTGGCGAACACCATTTCATTAGATTCATTATAATGTTCAGTAGAAAAAGTTAACACATAACAGCTGCCAGATTTATTTCTATCTTATCCAGAAACTTATAATAACTTACTAAAAGCTAAATAAATAGATACTTTGGTTGGTATACATTTTATAAGTCAGTCTTACTACGACATTTAAACTCGAACTATTGCCCCCATTGAAGTGAAATTTGGCGAGGTTAAAGATATGTATAAAGCCAACAAAGTTGAGTTATAAAAACATGTAGCTCATGGCGTGGCGACACGTACTTTATAATGTCGATTTGCCTAATTTGTCCCTGCACATTGCCAATATAGATGAAGCACATTTTTATATACTTTTAAGTAAGTTACATTTATAATCACTTACATCTGTTTATAAATAGCACATAATTATGCATATAGACATATGAAACCTGGTCGGTAGACATACTCTTATTTGTATGTTATGCAAGATCGAAATGTTGTTTTAATCCGCCTTAATAACCAACGCCAACATACCTTTTTGAACAAAAAACTACACCACGTAGGTAACAACCGTCATGGTGACACTGTGCTGTGTACTATACATACCTTGGTCTTGAGACGCGGCTGCTCGAAGTCGGCCCTCGTCCGCACGTCTCTCCATCTCCACAATCAATCTCACTCGCACATTACATTTTATCCGTATCTCATACTATTACACTGAAACCAGACGTTATTATAGATTCGTGGTAACTTGGTAAATTAATTAATTAATATTGAGGTATTGTGGAACTTTGTCCTAAATATTACATCCAAAATGAAAGGCGTTGGGGCCGTAACAAGGGAACCGCTACCTGTCAGTTTGTCTTGTCGCTGTTTGGTCTTTTAATTAGGTTTCCCGCGACGCGACGCGACGCAGAATAAAAAACAGAATTTGTTTTATCTCAATCGGAAAAAGGAAATGAATCGGAGAGGAAACGTAAATCAACATCCGATTTTCGTTTTTGGTTGTCATGTTGGTATACAAAATTAAATACATTTTCGACATTGATTTTTATTTACATTAGAGAGAGTCTTGAGAGTACTAATATTTAAAGACAGAACTATCATACATAGGCAATAGTCAATTTCCATGTAACAAAATAAGTGAAATCAAAATGTAAATAAAACGAGTGTGGAACGATTACGTTCCTTCATCCAGTAGTGTCGTACAAACGTGATTCTATATTAATAGAATCACGTTTGTACGACACTACTGGATGCAGAAAGCATGGCTCATAGAAATGTCTATTCTCAGAAAGCACGTTTCGCCGAAAACTTTATTGTTAGAAAATATTGTTCGTAGATATCTCGTTCCATAGAAAGCACTAGCCATAGAAATCTTTATTCCTAGACAGCTCGTTTTGCCGAAACCTTTGTTGGTAGAAAATACTATTCGTAGATATTCTGTTCATAGATAGAATTTTTCACCTTGATTCACAGAAAGCAAAGGTAACTATGAATATGCATATGAACAAAATGGAAATAAAGGTATTTGTTTGTTTATCCTAGATAAAAAAAAATTGTCATATGAATAAATCTGGTTTGTTTTTTCTGTCTCTGAGAAAAATCCGTAATACAGACAGAAAAAACAAACCAGATTTATTCATATGACAATTTTTTTTTTTTTTATCTAGGGTAAACAAACAAATACCTTTATTTCCATTTTGTTCATATGCATATTCATAGTTACCTTTGCTTTCTGTGAATCAAGGTGAAAACTTTTATCTATGAACAGAATATCTACGAATAGTATTTTCTACCAACAAAGGTTTCGGCAAAACGAGCTGTCTAGGAATAAAGATTTCTATGGCTAGTGCTTTCTATGGAACGAGATATCTACGAACAATATTTTCTAACAATAAAGTTTTCGGCGAAACGTGCTTTCTGAGAATAGACATTTCTATGAGCCATGCTTTCTGCATCCAGTAGTGTCGTACAAACGTGATTCTATATTACGTTCCACACTCGATATGAATGGAGGGGGAATTTTCAAAACCCACGATATCGTAGTTTTCTGCGGTTGCACAGCGGCCGCGTCTGCAAAATTGGCGGTTTATTATCGCAAGACAAGCGGGCGGTAAAATAATCAGTAAAGATCCCATTGCGATCGCCCGCTAACCGATCGTAGAACGCACAAGTGCAACCCGCCGCGGCTGCGGGACAGCGGTCGCGGCCCGCCGGTGCAGCGGGGCCGCAAACAATTGCAACCGCCGCCGCGGGCGTGAAACGAGCAAAGAAAATTGCTTTGATTTTTTACATACATAACTGTATTCTACAAAGGCTGCGGGCCCACAACCGCGGCGTGCGCGGGAGATAATCGCGCCGTGAGTTCTTAGCCTAAAGCTCCTTAACACGACAATATTCTGATTAGATTTTTGATAAAAATTATCCGAATCAGAATGCTGATAAATGCTTTAATGAATACTAAAGTGAATACAATTCATCAAATATGAATACATATTCGAATCCACATAAGTCACTTGGAGTGAGCAATTTTTCTCCACACAAAGGGAAAATTTGTGAACGTAGAAAATGATACCGTCACAGTTAATGTCAAAGCAGGCTTGTAATCATGTAACATTATACTCGTGAGCAACTGAAACATCCCAAGGCTTCCTTTGACAGACACGTATCATATTATACAATATATAGTTAGTCCGTATACTATGCATACTCGAAAATCCTCTTCATCACATCAAAATGTTATAATTAAAATGTGATGAGGTATACATTAATCTGCTTTAAATTCGATAAATGAAAGTGTATATGACATATTAGATTTTACACGCGGTTTTTTTTTATTTATTCTATGTATAAAATATTATTCAATTTTATTTAGCCAATACCCCATATGAGGCTATTGATAGGCTCGCCCCATATTACATGGGACTAATAACATAAATATTGAAAAATGGGTTTAACATTGTACAGTGGATTAGTGCCGTAATATGCACCTCCACCTACCCCTTCGGGGATAAAAGGCGTGATGTTATGTTATGTCTGTTCAATAGTTTCAACAACATTGACGGACAAACATCCAAACATCGAAACTTTCACATTTCATAAAAAGTATATAAGGCGTGATTATTATTATCATGCGTATACATATTTTTAAGATGGTATAAATGGTACCAACATAATAAAGTTCATAAACGTTGTATACGATACGTGTCGACGGTGACGACGAGTAATTATTTTGACATTTGTATGGTTTCACACCCATTTCTCTGAAGGACTTTTTTTACCCTTTCTGTTATTAGCTACAAAAATTATTTTGTGTTATTGTGAAGAAACTGATAATAAAACACATGATAAAATAACAGACGATAAACAAGCTGCGAAATCTAATCTCGATCACTAAATCAAATCTAATTTAAAGCAAACGTTGACACATCGTATTCATTAATAGAACAGGTGTAATTTGTTTCAGGGCTTTATCAAAGGCTCTTAGTCGGCTCGTCACGTACTCACTCGCGATACGCATGCCACATTTCAGGACGAAAGAAGCCCATAAAAACAGATAGAAAGCCTACTAAAAGCAGCCTACGTCCAAATTATTTTTATGTTCCAAGCATGTTGTAGCACTTTATTGCTACGGCTACGAGTGGCTACGCTTCGTAGCAGACTACGAAATTCGTTTAATATTACGGTAACTTGATTATTCTAGTTTTTTTTTAATGAAACGTGCTGCTGTTCATTTTTTATGCTTGAATATTTATTGTTAATACCTTTATACATATGACTTCTAAATGTTGTCATTGATGTATACTCAAAATTATTTTAAACAAATCTAAATAGTTGTTTACAATTTAAGATATTATTAGGTGACGTCTTTATTTATCAAATGTTTAATATATAAAATACTATTAGGTGACGTTTTTATTTTTCAAATATTTAATATTTAAGATATTACTTGGTGACCCAAGTAGAAAACAATAAGTCAATCACGTCAGTCAATCATTTATTCAATTTAGTAACATTGATCTTTTGCTACGTCGCAGCTACACCGTAGCGGGTGCTACGTAGAATTTTAAATTGAATAAATGATAGATACGCTTCATTCATGATTCAGACGTCGATTTTCAACGGTAACAGCTAGCCTATTTATATTTATACATATCTATCTATAAAACACTAAAAACGTTACTTGTACAAATAGATTTGAACCAAAAATAACTGCGATTGAAAATTATGATAGAAAAAGTAGATGTTACTCAAAAATATAACGCACATGAGAAAATATCACTTTATAAAATAAGATATTAAAGCATGGAATTTTTTCATAGAACACGTTTCTAATAATACCTAAAAAAATAGTTGAACACTCGACTAAGTTTTTATCAGACATTTTATCAGGCACTATCTGTAGTTTCACTATCCAAACGATAGGCAGTACTAGGCTAGCAGAACTATTAATAACACTAACCCATTTAGTGTTTAGTATATTGTCATAGTACTATACTCAATTGTACGGACAACAGAACATCATACAAAATGAAATTACGCGGCTTTCATCAACTCTTTCATTACATAATGATATTTATTCACCACTACTTCAGTCCGTCTCATTTCTAATTTATGATACATTGTATAAAATTACGCATATGAATGTAGTTTTGTACAAAAAATCGTCAAGAACGAAAATTTATTCATGCTCGGTTTAATAAAGGTTTATGAGTCATCTCATACCTGATTAAAAAATAGATGTTTCTGGCTAACTTCTAAAGGTGTTATTGAAGTATAGCTTGACCTTGAACACAGATTCCAAAGAGAAAATCAGATTTTTTATAAGTTCACTCAAATAAAATTGCAACAGAAATTAATGTTTCATTATTCGAAAGCTTTTTCTAACTGTTCACAAAAATGCATAACAATGTATGAACATGTGAAAATGAAATAAACATATGACCTCAGAAATAGAGCATATCAACAGATTAACTCGAGTAGTTACTTAAAAAATTAGTACAAAATCAACAAACAGAACATTTCCCACGACCGCCTTTCGCGCTTCATGCAATATTCAAAACTTTTCCAATAGAGTTACAATGATGGACGATGTGTCATGTGTAGTCGATAAACTAGTGAAAAAGATAATGATTTCATAGAAAAGTTATAGTTACCACGAATTTTATGTTATTTTTTATTGATATTTTCTTAGTATTTGTTTTAGATTTTCGTGTTGTGTGCGGGGGGCGGTGGGTTTATACTGCGTTAGGAGCGAGACGCGCGAACCGCCAGCGACGCAGAACGCGACTGACCGTAGCGCGGCGCCTCTGCCTCATCACACTGCCGCACTGGTTCCTAACTTCGCTTATGTAAGCTTCTTGTATACGCTGCCGACCAACTTTCCATGAGCCACAAGTTTCCCATGATTAACATGAAATCAAGTAACGTGTGTCAGTGTAATACTGCTACCAACGAAGATTAATGGTCTGTTCTCATATATGTTATGGTAAGCATAGTTGTTACAGCTTTTGGATTAAATATGACAAATTATTGTAAAAAGGATACACCACTTTCAAATGACAATTAATTCTGTATTTAGCAGATAAATTCCACTATAAACTAGCTGGGTAACCAACGCTTACTCATGTGTTATTTCACAACGTACCAACAATGATA